AGTAGGTGCATTTGTTAACCCAAACGGCATAAGTAACCATTAATATAATCCTTGTTTAGTTTTAAAGGCCGTTTTCCATTCATCACCTTCTTTCATCCGGATTTGATGATAACCACTTTTAAGATCAATTTTCGAAAATATGCTAGAACCATGCAACTCATCAAGCATATCATCTAAACGAGGGATAGGGTGGCGATAATTAACCGTAATATTATATTGTTGATGGCTCGGCAGTCCACGCACATACGCCAACTGCCATCTTTCTTTGGTACTAGTAACACCGGAACGGCACACGGACTCATGCTTTCTCGGATATGTCCTTTATCCATAAGCTCGTTCACTTGTCTCTCGAGTTCTTTGGTGTCGGTTGGGTTGGTGCGATAAGCTGGTCGGTTTGGTAAAGCGGCTCCCGGAACAAAGTCGATTTGATGTTCGATCCCTCGGATGGGTGGTAAACCTATGGGATTATCTTCCGGAAACACGTCCTTAAACTCTTGCAAAACCAACTTGATCTTACTCGGTAGCACCGGTTCGGGATTAGTTGAACAAGTAAGAGTTTCTTTGAAAACAAAGAGTAGGCTATTTTTATGACCTACCTTATTCTTACCCTTGGTATCGATCGGTTCGGTTGGTTTGATGGCCCGTTGCTCCATACTTAGCTGATCTAGATAGATTTCATGCGGAGTCATCAGAATAAGAGTCGTTTTTCGGCCGTTGTGTTCAAAGGTGTGTCAGTTAGTGAAGCCATTGTGGAGAACTTGTCGATCCGATTGCCATGGACGTCCAAGAAGAATGTGACTAGCATCCATCGGTAGTATATCACACATGATCTCGTCTTGATACTTGCCGATTGATAACGGAACCTTGACTTGTTCGTTGACGGACATCTCACCATTTTTGTTAAGCCATTGGAGCGAATACGGTCTCGGGTGTATAAGCACTTCTAAACCAAGCTTCTCAACCATACTTCTACTCGCAACATTGGTACAGCTTCCTCCATCAATGATCAAGCTACATACCTTACCTTTGACTAAGCATCTTGTGTGAAACAAGTTTTCCCTTTGCGCTTGCTCTTCGGCCTTAGTTAGAACACTCAATGATCTTCTCGAAACAAGCAACTCTCCTTTAGTTGGGGCTTCCAAACTCTCTTCCATTGAATCGTTTTCCAAACGTTCATCTTCGGATTCTACTTCACCATTATCTCTAAGGACCATGATCTTTTTGTTAGAACAATCGCTCGCGTAGTGCCCAAGTCCTTGACACTTAAAGCATCGAATATCTCTAGCCCTTGTGGTCACTTCCTTACCCTTTCCTTTCGGGTCTGGATCTAGCGATTTCGGCTTGACGAATGGCTTGTAGTCCTTTTGGTAGACGGACTTCTCTTCCTTTTGATAACTTGGTTTTTCCGAGTTGTATTTGGGCTTGACGGCGCCGTAGCTTAATCGGGAATTTCTTCTTTTGATTTGCCGTTCGAACATGACCACTTTGTGAAGCAGCTCATCAAGTTCCACATAGTGTTGAGTTTCTAGGCGATCTTGGATTTCTCGGTTAAGACCTCCTATAAATCGGGACATAACGGCTTCTCCATCTTCTTGAATATTGGCTCTTAGCATAAGCGTTTCCATTTCTTTAAAATATTTCTCGACCGTCTTGCTTCCTTGGACCAAATTCCTCAACCGTTGATGTAGTTCACGATGGTAATGACTTGGCACAAATCTCTTTCGCAAGATGGTTTTCAACTGATTCCATGTTTCGATCGGATAGTCTCCGGCACGTCTTCGGCTGGTAACAAGTTGATCCCACCAACTTAGCGCGTAGTCGTAGAACTCAGTAGCCGCAACTTTAACCTTGTTGGCCTCGGTACACTCTTGACAAACAAAGACTAACTCAATTTTCTGCTCCCACTCCAAGTAAGTATCCGGATTGTTGGTTCCGTGAAAAGCGGGAATCTTGAGTTTTATTTTTCCCAAAGGATCTCTAGGCGGGGGTCTTTCTCGTCGCTGCCTACGTTGACTATTGTGAGAAGAGGCATGACTATAGTAATTTCTTGCTTCCTCATCTTGCCTTGGTTCCTCTCGGTGCTGCCTTTGACGTTGATTTGGTTCCGGGTTGATTTGATTCAAGTGTAGAGCACCAAGCTTCTCGTCAATCATTGTTGCCATTGCAGCTGTGACGGATTTCAAGATTTTTCTCTCCAAGCTAGAGGTGGATGACTCTTCGTCTTCAGATGTCACCATTGTACCTGAAAAATCGAAAATCTAACAAGTAAACAGTCCAAAAACAGACAAATCTAAACGGATCTGGAAAAATATCAAACGATTCCATAAATTCTAAAATCAATTTTCAAAAATACTAGACTCGTTACTGGTTCAAATACAATTGGTTTAACAATTTTTCAACGAGCCAAATATTTTTAAAAATTAAAACAAGATGCGATCAGAAATCTGGAAAAAGTGAAATCGAGAAAAAATAGAAAATTTAGAGTTGGAACTTCAAAACCTGGTAACAAAGTGGCTCTGATACCACATGATAGACTCCTAGATGAGGATCTACTCCCAAGAACACACTTTGTTGGTTTTGAACATGAAGGATGCAGCGGAATGGAAGAAGGGCGAGATCGAAGGTGGAAGATGAACGGACAAACGGATGAGCGGATGCAGCGGATTGAAGAGGGAACGAATTGTACTTTCAAGAGAGGTGGAAATCTCTTAGACTACGAGCTTGAATACAACTTAGATATTACACACTAAGAAGGAAACAAGTTGAGAAGATATTACGCACTTCTCGGATCAAACAAGAAAAGAGAGATTTTTGATAAAAAATGTTTGATGGTTTGCAAATGAGAGCTACAAGGAGAATATAAAGAAGAGGAGGATGAAGGAGAAGAGAGGAGAAGGAGAACATGCACGAGCATGCACAAGTCCACACTCATGCAAGCTCATGCAAAGTGTCTAGGAAATTACAAAGGCATTAAATGCAAAGTTTGAACATAAAAATAAGATAATGGGCCAAGGGAAAGTGATGGGCCACGAATTGGGCTGATAAAGGGAGGCTTGAATTGGGACAAAACTTGACAAAGGAAAAAGAGTGCGTAAGCAACACTTATCCCTTTACCGAGCACTTTGGGCCGTGGTCATCATAAGGGAGACTTGGGCCACGTCTTCTTGCTTCTTGTCTAGCTCCCTAAGTAGTCCATTGATTGCTTGATTGAGCTTTTTGGATCTTGATCGAGTTAGAGGACCCGCCGGGACGATTAGTGCTTCCTCCGGTTCAAGCTGCTCCTCGGCTACAAGCTGCTCATCGGGTTCGTGTGGTGCGGTTGTGTTGGCCATGGTCTCATCAGATCATGTTCTAAAATCTCCTCTCGGTGTTATTGTACAGTTTCGACGGCTTAATTTTAGGTGGAGCTCGAAAATAGTTCATCATCATCTTTTAAGCAAACAACTTGTTTGCGAAAACGAATATAAGTTGTGGTTTTTGATCCTGGGACAGCAATCTATTTTTAGATCTATGTTGACTTCAGAGATTAATTACATGAACCATCTGGTATTTTGAACGAGTATGCAACCAAGGATTTCTCTTGATTCATAGTACTATTTGTCTCATAATAATTTGTGCTAAGAAAAACTGATATATTATGGTTTTGGGTATGTGCACAAAAGACGTACAAGGTAGATGATCCATAAACGTTTTGAGATATATTATGTTATCAACATCGTCCAATTCAATAATATACATATTTTGGTAAGATGACAATTTGATGTTTCTTTAATCTTAACTTACATATGATTTTTTCATATGTAGTAAGAGTTATAGTTAATTAACGGATCTAGAATTTTGTTTTTAATGTTAAATTTTTCGATAAACAAAGATATTTATGTACAAAATAAATTGAAAACAAGACTAAAAGCTAGAAAGATGTGACGTTTTTTAAAAAAAAATTATAACCACATATTTGAAACCAACGACGAAAAAAACCTCCAAGCTTGTGTTATTTTTTCGTATTAAAATTTTTTTTATATGGTGCTCAATAATCTTCTCCTATATATTTGATAACATTTTAAAATATTTATGCAGAGTTATTTTTGTGGATGTAGGATTCACACACTCAAGTATTTTTATTAAGTAGGAAAGATTATTCTTGAGGGACAAAAAATAAGAATGTAAAAAGCTTATGAACTGCTACAAAAATTGCTATAGTATTTCTTGCTCGAGAAAAAGATCCCCTTTACATGGCCATTGGCCTTTATATTTATACATAGAAAAACGACATTTAAATGGCTAATTAAGTACAATTATTCTCTCTTAAATGTGTCCGTTTTGATCTTTGATTTTAATGCTCAACGTTCGAATTTGAGTTGATTCTGATCTTCATGGGCCTCGCCTTTTGGCCCAAATGTCCTTGGACCGACTCAACCATGACTTCGTCTCCGGACTCGTGTCGAGGTGCAGTCACTTCGGATTCTCCTTATGGTGATAACCACTTCGATTGTTCTTTTGACTTATGGGTCTAATGGGCTTTATCCTTTATGGGCCGTTACCCTGACTACGTGGCAATATAATGCCTTGACCGGAGCCGGAGGGAGACCTTGGTTGGTCCTGGACCTCTGGTGCGGGATCCGACACCAACAATTAGCCCCCCAAGTTCTTCGAAGTGCCATTCCAATCCGGAGGACTTTAAATGCTTAAATGACCAAAGATTGCGCTCGAGAATCTTTCTGATTTCCCGCCAAAAATCTCATCACTCCTTTAATTTCGGTACTAGCCATTTTTACCCGAGTGACATCTGTCATCATTATGACCGTATATTAATTAATTACTATTAAAACGAGAAAAACCTTCCCACTTCCCACACAACTTCCGAGGCGGTTCCATCATTTAGCTTGTGTAAGGTAACTTCTTTTCATCATCATTTTCTACTTTTACTTTTACATTTGCACTTTATTCGAAACTTCTCTCTTCTTTTCCTTTGCCAAATTTCTCTTCGTCGGATCTTGAACCTTTCATTTTCCCCAATGACTTCTGATTCTGAAAGACCCGAATCTCCGTCATTCGACGATAGGCGCTCTAGTAATGACGAGTGCACTCGCCCTAATGATATTGCCGGTCCGCACTATAGATCCACTTATACTCTTCAATCCCTCGAGCGGTTGAGAGAGCTTTGCCGGATTCCGCCGGAAATTATGGCGGAAGCACAAATAGCTGACCCCACAGAATCCCCAGAGAACCATCGCGATGGTTACTTCTGTGTGTACGAGATTTATTTCAAGGGTTGCGGATTAACCTTCCCACTTCCCGAAGCCCTAGTTCGGTACTTGGCGGTTCTCGAGATCGCTCTTCCTCAATTAACCCCCAATCTTCTCCGAACCATACTTGGAATTATAACAGTAGCGGCGGAAGCCGGATACATTATAGGGGTCCCCGAGCTGAATGAGCTTCTAAGCGTGAGAAGTTCATCGAAGAAGACAGGGTATTTCTCGGCATACCCTAACGCTAACAGGAACGTCATTTCACATCTTCCAAACAAGGATGAAAATTGGCATCACCCTTGGTTCCTGATTAAGAAAACCCCTGCTTCGATTGGAAGTCTATCAGATTTACTCCCATCGAAGTGGTCCGCGAAATCTGGTAGAAATTAGGTCGCATACATTCCTCCAATTTTATTATTCCTATTGATTAAACTTGTTATTTTCCCTTCGCAGCTTTCGTCGCTCCGACTTTACCAACTGAAGAATTCATTGGCTTCTTCAAAATAATCCTCGAAGGGGAAACCCTTTGGAATTCATTCACTCTCGAACGGTTCAGAGAAGCCAATCGAAAACTCAGGATGAGCCCTCCCAATCAACTTCATCGTCTTCCGCCTCCTCCCTCAACCCAGGGAATGTCAGCTCGGGCTCTCACTGCCCAGCGAAAAATGATTTCCAAGCCGATGGCTGAGGCTTGTGATGAGAAAAAGGCGTTCCTTGCGACCGCCATTGACAAAAAAGATTATAGCAAAACCTTATTGGTTGACGACGGTAGCACCGAAGGAGCCAGATCCGTCGCCGTTTTCAGATTGACACCTCGACGTGAACGTCACGATGACCGTCCTCCCCGGAGGCTCCAATCTCCTAACCGCGACTCTCCTCGATCTTCCCGAGATGACTTTAGCAACGAACCGCTTAAGGATCTAATTCTCAAAAAGAGGGACAGGTCATCCCGCAGTGGTTCTTCTCCGCGAAGAGAGAAGTCAAGGGCCCGGACTGACCGTTCTCCTCGATCGTCCCCTCCTACTGAACCAATGGGTCGTCCTCGTCCGGTCGATATGTCTTCTTCTTCTCAACGTAGTGGCGAGAAGACGAACCTGAGTGCAGCTCCTCAGAAGGAAAGTTCTGAGTCTCGAGATGACTCTCCGAAGACAAAGCCTACTCTTGTTCCTGAGATCAAATCGCTCTCAGGTATGACGATATATCCGTATTCTTTTCTTTTCATCTTGTACTTATTTTGAATTTCTAAGACCTTTCCTCTTTTGCTTTCGTAGCCATGGAGAAAGAGGGTAACGTTTTTCGGTGCTTCAAAACCCGATCAGGTGCGATCCTGCCGAAGTTCAACAAGTGGCGCTCTGCAATTCGTGAACAATACCTACTTCATGCTCATCATTCATCTCGGGTTAGTTCCGCTTCATTTTTCTGACTTCACTATCATTCCTCGAACTGATCCGTCATTTCGGGTTTATGTGTAATATCAAGCTAACGGCGAGCTCAATGACATAATTGAACATTACGAAGGGTTGGTCATTGGTCGGGAGAAGGAGATCGATACGTGGAAGAGCAAGTTTTCTAATCTCGAGGCTGACCTCCATTCTTCTACCGACTCCAAGCATGATCTGGAGGACAAGGTTGATGGTCTATCATCCGAGCTTGCGAAGATAAAGGGGGAGCTGTAGGACCAGTACGACCGGAATTACAAGCTCCAGGATGAACTTTCTGGTGTTCAGGGTAGACTTCATGAGTCTGAATCATCCGCCGATACCCTGAACAATCAACTTACCGAGCTTCACGCGAAGTACCAGGCGATCGCCAAGTTGCGTGATTCCGAGTTAGCATGGTCAGCATCGAAGGCCAGAAAAGAGGTCAAGGGACGCGGGATAGAATTGATCCAAGGGGCTATCCGCTTCATCCAAACTGAGAAATCTAGGTCAGATCTAGAATCTGACATCAAAGAGCACGAGAGCAACCTGATCCTGTTGGATCAGATCTATGACAAAGATTTCTCCGAGGCGCAAGAAAGATCCAAATTGACCGCTAATTTATCTGAAAAACGGAGTCGCTTGGCAGCTCTTCCTGTTTCAACCTTCAACCCACAACACTTCGAGGAATTCTTTACTGAATCGCCTCCCCCAAGTGAATCGGGTCTAGACTGGGCATGTAATCCTCAGCTCTTGATACTTACTATCTCTTTCTTGCCCTATAATATATATATTTCTTTGTTGACTGGAACTATCCTTCCTAGGCTCAAGTGAGGCGGAAGATGCCGCCCCTCCCGAAGTTCTAGCCGCACCGGAGGTCACCCCGACGGATGGTTGTACCGTGGAAAGCGGACCAGGAGCTTCGCCTGACCAGGCACCAGCCAAGGAGGTGGATGAAACTTTGACAGCTGAGACGGAGTCCGAGGTGGTCGTTAACCCGTAGTGGCTGTGTCCACTTTAAATTGGGGATTGTCCCATTTATTTCAAAACTTAATTTCGAACTTGTTTTTGCCTAAGGAGGCTTTATAATTATCCTTTTTTTTTTTAAACAAAATACTCGCCTGAGGAGGCTTTTAAACCTTTCTAGGTTATGATCCCAAGAGGGTTTGGTTAAAATTATGTGCGGGTTTGCAAAGTCCGCTTTTAACCTTTTGTGGCCTTGTGGTTATGTTTTCGAGATTTTTAGGCTGATCAGACCTTTCTCTTTAGAATGCGAGAACTGAGCTCGGCTTAAAGCGAGTTCCCCACTTCGGGTTTAGTCAACTCGGTAAATTTATTGGGCTTGGGCCTTAGAAACTTTTGTAGTTAATGCGACGGTTGTTCTTTCCCTTCTTATTTCTTGAAAGTAGGGAAAGCGGCTCGTCTTTAATGCAATAACTGTCTTTTCTCGATTTTCCAAAAATGGTTTAAGTTACTTGGGCACGCCATTATTAATGATTTTTCGATTCCAAGACAAACCCTATTCCTATTATAAATAGGAGATTGTTTGCCTTTTATCTTTTCTCAAGAAACTTCACAATTCATCCAACAAGCACCACATCAATAGAAAACGAAAACATAGTCCCCGTTGATCCCGGCAGCCCGCTTTTTCTGTCCGGCGATGGTTTTGAGCCGGCAGGTGTCCTCTTCCCGCACGCCGTGTTTCACTTCCCTTCAAAGGAAAAGAAAGAGGCTTGCGATTTCCTGGATAAGGTTTAGTATTTATCTTCTTTGATCAAAACTTTCCGCTTTCTCCTTTTTACCTACTTATCTTTATTCTAGGTTGTCGACAAGCACCGTCGCTTGTGCGACGAGAGGCAGCGGCTAGGTCTCAAAAGGCAAACACTAGAAGCTCGCATCGCCCGTGTGGAGAGGAAGATAAGAGCTCTGGAAAGTGATCCCTTTCAATGGGAATGGCGGAATTTTGATTCTGTTGCTGAGATCTCGAAGATGCTCCGGATGTATCTCCGTGCTAAGGGAGTTCCGGGGCCCGTGAATACCCCGGTCTATACCGCTCCATCTGAAGGCGAAGAAGAAGACGAGGAGGATACCAGCACCCGTCGAAAACGCGTTCGGGATCGTTCCGAAGTGGATGCCAAGAACAAGGCGTCTACTTCGAAAATCAAACCGGCGATGAAGGAGCCTGTTCCTGAGCCTCTTCCTTAAATGTTCCCTAACTCTGCTCCCATTTTGAACTCGTAATGGGCTTCGACCCCTTTTTTTTATTTATAGAAACATTTGCAATTCTCCTTATTCTTCAAAATATTCTCGGAGATACGCCTTTTAATGCAGGATTGGTTTAAGAGCATAAATCTCTCCGCGAATCACTCCAAGGAATATGACGTTCTTATAAATTTTAGTATCGATTTCCCTTTACTCCTCACCACTCTTTTTCATTTTAGCAGGTATGGAGTTCAACCTTCGATGTTCAGAATCTATGTCCGACTTCTCCAGGATCGGAATGATAAACGAAAATGTTCCAAATGAGCCAAACAGGCAACCTCTTCCACCTCGCGGTTTCTTCAGATCTCAGATCCGAGCTCCATGCGCTTTGATCAGGGATCTCCCAATCAGAGACCAAGGAACAACGATGGCATTCATAGATGCACTTGCGCTTCAACATCGGAAGCTTACATTGGAAAAGAGGAGACTCCGGAAGAGGATTATCCGGATGCAACGCAGGCTTACTACGGTAACGAGAGATTGTCACATCCTTGGTTCTCACCCCGGAGAATGGATCGAGCTTGGAATCTCTGACTTCGCTCGAATTCCGGACTGCATGATGCCAATCCTCGATCTTGCTGGTCAAGGAGTTGACGTGTTCTGCTCGTCAACAAGACTTCCCTAATCCGAAGTGTACGATGAGGGACATTCCATCTTATTTGTTTGAATAAACGCTCTATTTCCAATCTCTTGTATGTTCGCATAGCCGAACCTTTATTTGCTTCACTTGTTCGCTCAGTCGAACCTTTTCCTTTAATAAAGAAATAAAACAAATTTTTATTAATAGCTGAACTCGTTTCCGAGCTGCCTACGTACCCATTTCGGGATCAAGCCACACCGTAGTTCATGTACATAAAAATGCATGTAGCTTTAAACATAAAACTTCTTTAGGTTGATCACATTCCAAGGTCGCTTGACTGGCCTGTCTTCTAAGTCTTTCAATCTATAAACACCGTTCCAAACCACTTCGGTAACAATGTAAGGTCCTTCCCAATTAATGCCGAGTTTACCAGCACCTTCTTCTTTTTTATTGTCAAAGACGCGCCTTAACACATAATCTCCCACTAAGAACGGCCTACTTTTGACTTTAGAGTTGTAATATCGGGCTGCTGCCTGCTGGTAGTTCTGAATCCGAATCAAAGCTTGATCACGCCTTTCATTTATGGTATCTAGTGAATCATTAAGCATTGCTGAATTTTCTTCCTCATTTAATGGTGCTTCTGTTCTGCGAAGTCCGAGCACGTTGAATTCAGATGGTACTACTGCCTCCATGCCATAAACCAAAGAGAATGGAGTTTCTCCGGTAAGTCGCCTAGGGGTTGTAAGATAGGCCCATAGGACGGGTTGGAGTTCTTCATACCATCCTCCCTTTAGATGATTCAAACGTTTCTTGAGATTGCTTAGTATCGTCTTGTTCGCGGCTTCAGCTTGACCGTTTCCTTGCGGATATCGTGGAGTAGAGTAACTGACTTTGATTCCCCAGTCCGCACAAAAGGCATCAAACTCTTGTGAAATGAATTGTGGCCCGTTATCAGTGATTATTTCGTACGGAACTCCATGTCGACATATAATATTCTTCCAAATGAAAGTCTTCACCGCCGAATCCTTGATGCCAACATATGCCTCAGCTTCAATCCATTTCGAAAAGTAGTCCGTCAAGACCAAAAGGTATTGTACACCTCGATTTGATCTGTGCAATGGTCCAATGATGTCCATTGACCACCTCATAAACGGGTACGGGGCGGAGATGGAAGAGAATAACTCCAAAGGTTGATGGATCAATGGTGCATGGAGTTGGCAGGGCTTACATCTTTGGGCAAATTTAACACAATCCGTGATCATAGTGGGCCAATAGTATCCCATTCTTTTAACTTTAAAAGCCATAGCTCTTCCTGATGAATGACTCCCACATAATCCTTCATGCACTTCGCTCATGACGATTTCGACTTCGGGCCCAAAAATGCATAATAGGTAAGGGTCACTGACACCTCGTCTATATAATGCATCCTTTGATAGACAAAATTTCGCGCTATCGATTTTCATTTTCCTGGCCTGCCACTTATTCTTTGGGAGCTCGCCTGTCATGATGTAGTGCTTTATTGGCTCCCTCCAGTCAGCCCCCCAGTCTTTAGCCGGAATTTGGTCAACCTTGTTGTGGATGTCGGATTCACACACTCAAGTATTTTTGTTAAGTAGGAAAGATTACTCTTGAGGGACAAAAAATGAATATGTAAAAAGCTTATGAATTGCTACAAAAATTGAGGTGGTATTTCTTATTCGAGAGAAAGATCCCCCTTACATGGCCATTGGCCCTTATATTTATACATAGAAAAACAACATTTAATTGGCTAATTAAGTACAATTATTCTCTCTTAAATGTGTCCGTTTTGATCTTTGACTTTAATGCTTAACGTTCGAATTTGAATTGATCCTGATCTTCATGGGCCTCGCCTTTTGGCCCAAATGTCCTTGGACCGATTTGACCATGACTTCGTCTCCGGAATGGTGTTGAGGTGCAGTCACTTCGGATTCTCCTTATGGTGATAACCACTTCGACTGTTCTTTTGACTTGTGGATCTAATGGGCTTTATCCTTTATGGGCCGTTACCCTGACTAGGTGGCAATCTTTGGTTGGTCCCGAACCTCTGGTGCGGGATCCGACACCAACACTTGTGAAATACTCGCGGCTCTGGTTCGGGATGTTCGTTTGGTTCAAGAACATCCTCCTCGATTAACGGCTCGGTTTCTAATATCGTTTCTGGAATCACATCCTCTGCTAAGACAACAGGTTCCTTATTAGATGTGTTTGATCCCTTTGATTTCCTCCGTTTGATGAGTGGTAGTTCGACCTCCGGTTCGTCACGGTCACGTGCCGCTGCTCGAGATCTTGTAACGACGAGTGTTTCTTTGTTATCTTGAATGCTTCGTTCTGAAATGCATTCTACTGGGATAACTCTTTTCAAGTCAGGATTTGATGTCGATGCTAACGCGGCAAG